ATATATCTTACACAATTAGTTGATTCATGTCTATGACGGAGGTTACACACGGGTAGAAGACAACGTGGGTGTCACTACGCTACTCAACAATTCATCGCGTACCGCAAAGTGGTGTAACATTTTAAAATGACAGTAAGTGCCGCCCTAGTCTCGCCAAAATCAGTTTGGATCAATTATGGAGCACGTAACCACAAAACAATCTAACTAGAGTGAGAATACGATGCCAATTTTTGCTTTGCTAGGTCTGCAAATAAAACTAGGTTAACGCAGTTTTGTTGAAACTCCCAAACCACATATCTTTGCGATGTTTAAAAATCTCCGCTCTTTTTTATTTCATTTTTTTTTAAAAAGGGAAACCGAATCAGCATCAATCCTTGAATATTTTCAGAATATTCTTTTGAAAGATAGGAAAAATCGTGGATTTTTTTAAAAATTGACGCTAATGACTGGTTGTCCACTTAAAAAATAAAGAATGACATTAAGTATGTAGGTAACATCGCAACCGGGATCAGTGGCGTGGCTTGCTTTGCGATTTATCGATTGTTATGCCATTTAAATCTATGGAAAAGGATCGATTCGAAGGATCGAAGGATCGAGGTGTTCGCTGCAAACACCCTATTTATCGATCCTTTTCCATAGATTTAAATGGCATAACAATCGATAAATCGCAAAGCAAGCCACGCCACTGACCGGGATACAGGGTTTGGGAGTTTTGTCATAGATATCCAACATGCTCGGTAAGCCAGGAGATGGAAAAAATTGAAATAAATTACAAACATCCTGACAACCAGCATTGGCTCAACAAAGCTCTCAGGAATGAATTTTCGGTTCTTCAATTTTTCTTATTTTCCGGATGAAATGACCATGAACGTCACTCAACATCCCATTTGTTTGAGAGGGGTTTATGGCATATTCTTATAAATTGAGGTGGTGACAGGTCATGTCTTCATGTCGTCCAATAGATCATGATTTTCTTGCGATGCAAAATATCCCATACCACTATACTTCAGAAGGGATTTGAGATAAGTTTTGGAGGTCAGGATTAACCATGGACACGTAGGTGTCCGAAAAAATTAGACTTCTTGAAGTTGTTGCGGGTCAAATACGCGAGTTAATGGGTTTCTGTTATTGTTCTTTTACCTTACGAAATTTTAAATCAATAATTTTTTAACTGATTCCTGTAGTGATGCCAATTAATCTCAGTAATCTTTGTCGTGAACCCACTTCGCCAGTGTCAAGGATACCAACCAAAGTCGGATTTCATTTTATCCCGAACCCCAGATCATGAATTTTTCTGTGTGCTACGTTGACATCACAAAACTATAAATCTCATTCATATTATCATATATTATTTTACGAAATATTTTTCTCAGAGTGATCTATCAGATTTAAATATTTTCGAGATTAATTTTCTTCGTCAACCGCTACTCTTTTCAGAAACACATTTATTATTGAAATTGAATAAATGACAATTCAATACTGGCAAAACAGGAAGAGGAAGAACAAATTCTATCGATCATGTTAAAAAACATTGGTCACTTGTGTCCCTCAATTCACAATCAACAATCCTTTATTCAAGTATTGCGTTTTGGTAATTTTGGGGATCCAGTGCTATCTTTCTTCAATACAACTTCAAAACCTAGCACGAGTCTTATATTGATAATGCAAATTAAAATTTGCACTGCCCAAGCCAAAATACTGCCATCAACCTAAGCCTAACGAGTCATTAAAATCACCCCCTACTTTAGGCGAATAACTAGAGCTTGGTTTCACAGTGTGAGATGTGAATAATCGATTATCCGCGATATTTAACCATTTGAAGGTGTGGTAAAGAATTGATAAGGTGTTCGTTGCAAACACCCTGGTTATCGATCCTTTTCCATAGGTTTAAATGGCAGATCAATCGATGTATCGCAAAGTACGTCACGCCACTGATTTCCTTCTTCCTTCGATACACACGGAGAAAAAAACTTCGTGCGTGGGACCCGAAGTTTAGGTTATATGGATCTCTGAAGTTTTCGGATTGAGCATCTGAACACTTTAGGTCCAGCTGCTGAGATTTGGATCACACATCTGAAACTTCAGTTCTTACATCTGAAGTACTTCGGTTTTCACATCCAAAAAACTTCGGTTCTCACGTCCTAAAAACTTCGGTTCTCACATCTGAAGTACTTCAGATGTAAGAACTGAAGTTTCAGATGTGTGATCCAAACCTCAGAAGCTGGACCTAAAGTGTTCAGATGCTCAATTCGAAAACTGCAGAGATCCATATGACCTAAACTTCAGGTCCCACGCACTAAGTTTTTTTCTGAATGCAAGATACCTACAATTTTGTCGAAAAAATGTTGTGCATAGGAAACGTTTTCCATCGCACAATATACCTAAATTAGGACTCGATTAGACTTGAGTAAACTCCGGTTTTTCTATGAGCGAGAAGTGAGCGTCAACGCAGGAAAACCGAAATTCCCTAACTTATGAGTTGAATTTGGAAAGTTTTAAAGCGTCCATTGTATTCTCCTTAAAAATTCAATCCAGGAGCTGTGATTCGTAATTTCATACCATGTCCAGTGGCCCATCATTGCCGAATTCCCATTTTGGTGTGCTTTCGTTCGTTCCTCGGGTCCGACGAAAGCACGAACTCCGCAGCACTCGGCAAAAATCGCATATCTAGGTAAGATTTTTATTTGACTTACGAGTTTACTGCCTAGCAAGGCAGATCCCGGCCCCCCTTCCGATGAGGAACAATGACGAAACGGAATGGCGAGAAGAAACAAAGTGAATGAGCGCGTGAATGGGTGAATGACTAATGGTGGTGTAGGAGTGGACTGCACGATATGTAAGAGTAGAATGCGTGCATGACCCCTTGCGAGACGCCGAGGAATCGAGAGTCATCTCTGCTCTGCAAGGTTAAAACCCCGCAACTGCCGTAGAGATCCCATGTGGATATGTTGTTTTTCTTAAGCACTACAGATCTCAGCCCAGCAGTCTTCTTCATTCTGGCGCCGTGCTCTCTTTACACGTCACAACCGCTCTTGCCATATCGTGCAAATATTGCAGGATATTTTCTCCCGTGAAATGGGTCAATAAACTTTGTAGATTAATATAATATTCTGAAATTATAAGGTGAGTAGATTATGTGGTGATTTATTGCGTATTTTTGGTGTCAAAATCCTGGAGAACCCCGCTTTTAAAAAATCCAAAGACTCGAAGGAATTTCAAACGCGCTGAAATGGCGGGAAAATGGTGAAATGGATGTACAATGGCAGTCAAATCGCTATTCCTCTCTTTTATTCACTGATATTTCTTAAAATAAAACGTGTTTCAATGTGGAATGGTGGATTGGTACTACAGATGACACGATGAGATTCGATTCTTTGATTCAAAAGTTATAGTTCCGACTTTCCTATAATTTTCATGCACGAAAAGTTGAGAAGCGTTTGAAGAAAGTCGTAGATATCCATGCTCGCTTCTGATTGGTGCCGGATGACATTATTCTGTTCGGCGCGAAACTGAGGCGATTTAAATTTACTGAAAAGTTTTTTGAACCGTGGGTTTCTCGGTTTCCGAGTTGCTTAATCGCATTTTTAATGTTTGGCATTGTTAGAGGCATTTCATAAGTTTGCATCGCAGTTTTTCAAACATGAAAATTGCAAGAAGCTCACAACAGACTCTTACCTTAAACTTGATTTAAAATCAGGTCAGAAATTAAGAACAGCTCATTTCGCAATCTCATCGGGAGATTCCAAAAGTGAATCCATTTAATTTGTCAATGAAGAACGTGCCCCTCTCTTTGTAAAATAAGACCGCCCTGCGCGTATCATCAGTTCAAATCAGTAATAATTTTCAAATTTTCAAGAGTATCAAGAGATCGTGGGGCAAAATTGAGCCAATTATATCCCAAAAGTAGGCTGAACAATGCTCTCGACAACTGCCATGAGTGTTGCAACTTTGACCTCTTGTAAAACTGATGCACCGATGATGGGCCTAATTTTTGAGTTTCGAGGTGAGACACTGTCACGCGGACCAGTCGAGCTCAGAACTATAATGATACGCAAGATTTTAGCATATAAAACAAGAGAGGGCAGGGTGTGTATTTTCTGTTGAGACAACTTGGCGAGCGATTGTGCAAAGCTGAATTATGAAGAAACATCACGATATGATCGTGTTGAGACACTGAGCCTATTATTAAGATTTTGCTTTTTAAATTCGGTTTCTTTCACTAGAAATCTTCGGTGGCAGTTTCCGTTGAGGATGAGCAAATGGGCTTGGAGGAGGAGCGACTGTTAACTTTTTGCATAAATCATCTATTTTAATTCATCAGCGAAATTTTCACTCCAAAATATAATTTTGCAGGTTCTGTTACAGCACTTTTTGTTAACTTCTAAAGGAAATATCCATTCACCCTAGGCATACTTCCATTTATTTTTATTAACATTCATTTAATCTCAACTTAAATTATTTTAATTTTCCTCTCTCTATCCCCCTCTATACCTCTTGAAAGCATCTCTAGCAGTGAATCGTAGCAAATGATATGAATTGCAAAATGATCTCACCGTTAAAGGTAATTGTTAACTACGGTAAAAATTCAATTTTTAGTGTGAATTCATCAGGGTTTTTTACTTTTTTGCATAATGAGAAGTCTACAATTAAAACCTTAATAACGTGTGCTTGCTTTCATGTACCATAAATGAAATTTATTCATATTCATAAGATTAATATTTTCTTAGACTTTAGCATTGTCAAGTATTTTTAACTAAAGGAGTAATAATCGAAAATATTATAAGTAAGCTAAAAAGCATAATTATTGGCAGCCATTATGAAAAACACGGCAGCAAGTTGACCCAAAAAGGGTCTATTTTGTTGTTTGCCTTTTCCTTGTGAGGGTTCAGTCTCAATTTTCAGGTGTATATAAATGAGGTGTGAGACTATAAAAACTCACTTACTTATTATTGTTCTGCTCCTAAAACCGTACATCGGGGGAAAAATGAAGAGAAAAATACTTATTTTGGGAGTGTTTTATACTGTTGTTATTCGACCACATTGTCCTCGAGCTTTGGTATTCACAAGATTTACAAAATATGAAAAATATTACAACGCCAATGGTGATTGTAATGATTTGCAACGAAAATTTTACCCTAATGATGTTCCTATCTTCGATAGCCAGTTCCTTGTGGGCCGAATCCTGGGCCTCCTGATGGATATCCAGCCTCTGGGCCTCCTGAAATGAGAGGAAAAAAGTCGTTGAATAATCGGAAAATTAAAACCTTAGACAGTAGCCAGTTTGTTTAATTTTAGATTGTAAGAAATGGAGAATTGAATTACACTCTATATTCAAGAAATAATGAAAAATGATCGAAGTGATGGGTTGATTTACTTACTTTAAATATTCGAAAATGGATCGCGGGTTTTTTTTTTTTTTTTTTTTTTTTTGAAGACAGATGAGAAAAGTTACGCAGACGAGTTTTTAAAATTAAAAACGGAAAATGGTGTAGAGTTAGTTAGACATTATGTCATAAGTCTCAAGCGTATTTGAGTCCATAAGAAAACATCTGAGAAAACGCCTTCAAATGTTTGCGCTACCAATAGCTAAGCACGTGTTTTGATTGAGGCATCCTCCGGCATAGAAGGAACTTTTATACGGTGTTCTCATATCTTATTGCCGTTGAACTGCACATTTCATATAAGTTTATCACTCGTGATTACAGTAAAAGATATTGCTATTGCTATTGCTAATATTAGAATTTTTTCTTATTCTAATATTTTACTATCCCTTCTTTTGGCTTTACTGCATAAAAGATGTATTGGTAAAAATAATGGGCTAAAAAATGAAATATAAGACAAAATGCCTGATCCTTCAACATCAAGTGGACAATAATGAAAAAAATCCGACAACTTTTAGCAAAATATACAGCATTCCATTTTTTCTTATTTTTCTTTTTCTTTTTTTTATGTAAAAATTGTGTTACCTTCAATTGAAACTTTAATTCAATTATTTTTCATTTTCAAAGGATAAAATTTTATAAGGATTATGATCTCAAAATGTAAAATTTACTTCCAATTTGAAGGTGCAAATTAGCAACCTTAAGTCGTTCAACAATCCAATTCGACTTAATATACTCGATTTTTACTGATTTATATTCCCACAGGGCTGTCACAGAATTAGGAGAGCCCCGTCCCGTAGTGATAGTTTGAATTGTGAAATAGTGAATCCCCGAAAATTTTCATTCCCGTGATTCAATCCTGGGACAAATCTCACGTAAGCTTTTAGACAAGGTCTAAAAAGCCACAGAGAAAAAAAGGAGGTTGTTGCATTTCGGGCATCTTCAACTTTTTTGATGAAGTAGGTCCATACGGACGATTTTTATCGTCGATTTTCGTGGAAATGTGGGAGTTTATGGAAATAAGTCATTCTATATACAGTGCTTGAACTTAAATCGTGACTTGATTCAAGCAAAAAAATCGGAAATGGACCACTAGACAAGGTACGAATTTCAGCATTCTGATACATTCTTCTTAACCAGAATTTCACGTAGAACACGATAAGCACAGCGGAAATTACCGAAATTAACTCCTTACGAAGATGTTTAATGATTCTTGATGCATGAAACTCAACGCTCATGAAAACTCAATGCTCTACGTGATTCACATCGCGCGCTAAATGTTATCATGACAGTCTCAGCTATATAAAAATCTGGCAACCTCAGTCTTGACGCTTTGGCTCAGCTATGGCAAATTGCCTATAGTTTGAACAACACATGGTGGGAAACGAACATTGCTCGATTGAGAAGCTTGCTGAAACCACTGTAGTGCGCGATTTGACTCACGTAGAGCTTTGAGTTTCTTGTGAGCGGGCAGTTCAAATTCCTCGTAACCAATGTGAAATAAAAAGGTTAATATCTTCGTTAAGAGTTGGTTTTAGTAACTTTTGTTGCGCGAATCGTGTTCTACGTAAAATTTTTGTTAAGAAACATGTAGAATGCTTAAAATCGTACCCTGTCTAGTGGTCCATTATGGTCTATTTTTCATACTTCAAATTCCGGCTTTTGCTTGAGTATCCGTACCACCTACGTAACGAAGTAAACAATACTCAAGATGCAAACACCTCTTCCTCTTCTTAGCTTTCTCCATGCTAAAAAGCTAACCAAAATTATAGTTGAAGACGTACCGCCCGCAGGGTATCCTCCAGCTCCGGGTGGGGCTCCACCACCACCTCCACCACCGCCGCCACCCCCTCCCGCTGGACCGGGTGGTCCGGGAATGGCCTCCCCTTCGTATTTGACGTCAGCCATGTAGCCGTTCTCGTCCGCCATGTACGTGACGATCTGAGTCCGGCTGTCCGGCAGCAAAACTTTGTATTCACCCATTACCTTCGTACCATCTGATTCTTCCTTCCGGGAGAACTCTGTCCCTGTTGCTGCGTCCTTCACTTCGTACTCGAAACTGTATGGCTCAGGCTGTAGGCAAAAGTAAGACGCAACGATTGATCATTACTCTAGAGAGGAAAAAGACGTAACTCACATGTGAGGGGCTTGGAGGACAAGACGCATAAGTGCAGTATTTGCTTTTTCGAGAAATACGTGTTTAAAGTTTCGTAATTAATCGGTTCTTTATGGCGGAGAGAAAGTTCAAATTGACTTTGTGATGCTTAAAAACTGGAATTCGAGAGCGAGTTTTTTACAGAGAATGCAATAAGACTAGTTTTACTTGAAATCATTAATATCTCAATTTTTTCAAAAACTGGACTTATGCGCTTTGTCCTCCAAGCCCCTCGTGTAAGTGGAAATTCAAAACCCAATAAGCGCTACTTGCGCTACACACGGAAAAAAATGTGTTAGGGGCTAACCTATCCCCTAAAATTGTGGTACCACCCCAATTTTTGGCTGATATGGGCATGTTCAATTAATTTTGATCGTAATTACGCAACTCAATTTGGGGTGGCACCACAACATTTGGGTTAATATTCTAATTTACTGGAGTATACTACTACAAATAATTAGAAATGTCCAAGTTGGGACTGAGCCTCTACCTCTTTTTTTCCGTGCATTCTTGGAAATTCCCGTGTTTTTGGCCACTTTGGGTTACTTTGAATCAATTTTTTATTTAGGTCGTATCAACCCCACCGGTTGATCAACCACATTTTTTTTTTTTTTTAATTGCGAGCAAAATACTGTGGTCGGTACCTCAAAGACATCTGCGGGCTAATTATTGAAATTAATAGACAAATTAATTGACATGGGAGACAGCGGAAAAATGAAGCTATCCTATTGGTTAAAGGGGGTGGTTGCGTTAAACAAAGGAGGTAAGTAATAGACTAACTAACGACAACCCACGAGGGACTCGACAGTTAGTCCGTCATTTCCCTCTAAGTCTATGAGAAGTACCCGTCTCAACCAGTAGGATCGCTCTAGGCTCTCTATGTCATCTTTGTTTATCGCTTTGTCTATCGCTTTGTCTATCAATTTCAAGAAGCAGCCCCCTGGAGATGAGGAAAGTGTCTTGTTAAACTAACATACTCTTGTTCCTTTCTAAGTCTCTCAGAGGCTGCAATTTGCGAGTGGCTAAATGAATAAATAGATAAATATAAATGAATTTCAATTTTGATAAAATAATCATTTTTTATCTCGTTCCCATCTTATTGTTGTGTGTATGTAATATAAAAAGAAAAAAAGAAGAAATTTAATTAGGCTGATTCTAGTTAATCAGTTCTAATTTAACTTACTTTTCCACCCTCTTCACCGCCTCCGCCTCCGCCACCCCCTCCACCCCCACCTCCAGGTGGGCCGCCTCCGCCGAAACTGGGGGGTTTTGGGCCTCCTGGTGGCGGAGGTTTGAACGAAGTCGATGGTTTAGCGCCGCCACCTCCTCCAGGTGGACCGTAAGAGGGTCCAGGTCGTGGTGCGCCGCCTCCACCGCCTCCCCCTCCCCCTGGAGGTAAATAAGAGGAGGCGGGCCTCTGTGCTTGTGTCAGGTTACATGCCACTATGCTTGCGAGTATCAAGCCACAAAGAGCCTGCAAATAAAAAATGCAATTTCCAAGTTGACATTCACCCTGTGAACGACAGCCTCAAGAGAGGCCAAGGTTACCGAAGTTCACCACACTGGACACTGGTGCCAGATTTTCCTATCAAAATTAGTTTTGGTATGTTGGTTTTAATCATTTAATGTAGTTTCTATTATAGTCATATTTATAGGTAAAAAATGTGGGCTAAATGGCTCTCCTCGGATGCAACGTTTCAAAATCTTCGCGTGCTTGTTTTTTGTGGGAACAATCAGCAAAATTTTTCTTTGTGAGGTTTTTTGTTTTACAGAATAAGTGGACAAATTTACAGAAAATTCCAGTGGAAACTGTTGAGCGGTTTTATTTAAAAAATAATACATTCCAAACCAGATTTTTCTATCAATTTTTCTTTTTAATTTGTTCGTTTTAATCATTTAATGTAGTTTCTATTATACTCAGATTCATAGATCGTATCGATGGGAAAATATGGGCTAAATTTGTTACCTCAAAGCAAAGTTTCAAAATCTTTAAGTGAAATTTTTGTTGGAACATTTATAAGAAAAATTTTTTGGGTGATTTTATTTTTCAGAATAAGTGAAGAAAATTTGCAGAAAATTCCAGTAGAAACTGCTGGGTGGTTTTCTATAATAAAATCATTCGAGGAGGCTTGCAACGTCTTAATATTGGTTATGCATTTATTGACAGTGATTGTTATACGTCAACAAACGTTTACGTTATGCGTTTCTTTACGGATGATCATTCATTCCTACATGAATCAATATTTTTTGACCAAGTTACGGACGTTGAGAGCCTTTTTTCAGAGAAGGAGGTAAAATGAGAAGCTGTCGAGAATGTTTGAATTCTACAATTAAGAATTTGAAAAATGCCCGACAAAAATTGGCTGATACCATGAATCGGGTTTCTCCGTGACATGTGCGCATGGAGAGTAAAACATTTAGAATAAACATTTAAGGGATTTTTAGAATTCAATTATCTACTGTAACTTTTGGATAAGAACACGATAAAGAGATTCTTCGATTAGTCAAAGCCAATTAATGAAATAAGTTTATCTCTCTCCAGAATCTCACATTCAGAAAAGTAAAGTAGCTGACAATTATTGCAACGATGAACTCAAAAGAAGGATCGAGGTATTGCAAAATTAAAAAAGGATAAAAACAAAGTGGTTACACTGTAATTATTTTACACATTTGTAAATCTCCATGTATCCAACAAAAGAATGTTCAGTTAAAATTTTTAAAACAAAATAAAATCCCGAGTTTTAATCTTTACGAGTCAAATATGAAATTATTTAGTTGACCTCAAGGAATGCAGCAAAGTGCAAGATGAAGATTGAAAGTTCCGATAAAGAAAACAAGCAGTGAACTCCAACACAATGTGTTGATAAGGCGCGTCATTAACTCGCACATATCAACCCCTTTAGTTTTCATTTACAGAGATTTCAAAATAGGCAAACAGCATAAAAAGAGAATTCACGATCCAACACTGCGAGGTCAAAGACGCACCTTGACGAGACCGTGTATTGTGAAAGTAGAAAGCTATTCGATCGAATTTAAGTTTTTTGATCTGCCTCAAGCAAAATCTTATCAGATTCTTGAAGAAAAGTGCTACGGAATAATTTAAGCGAAGAAAGGAAAAATTCTGTCGAACTCCTAGAAGATAAAGTCGATTTAAAGGTATTTTGGGGCTAAAATACCCAAATCACCGGTAGTAAAAATCCCGTTATATTATTGAAAAGAAATTGACTCGATATAAATGCAATTGCATTAAATACGTCTTGATTTTGTTATTTTAAACGTCTTTCCATGCAAAGAAGTTCAACCATGTCGTTGCTTTATTCATTCATGAATTGAAAGTAAGCAATCTACATCCCGAAAATCTACTGATTTGCCGTAAAAAATTGCAGAAACTTGATATACCAGGTCGATGCACCCACTCGTTGAATTTACCAACCAATTTTGTGAGTGCAAATGTGTAAGAATCAATATGCTATAGTCATTTTGGGTGCATTTATTTTTCATGAAACAATAATAATTTCAATCCCGAAAAACCATCAATTTTCCGTATAAAATCGAAAAAATCAAAATATGTCAACTCCCCGACGTGAAAATTAGATTCTACGTATGTAAAATGTAAATACTTATGTATCGATATGCTGAACAGAACTATGTGTGGACAGTCAGAAGCCCGCGGCAACATTAATTCAACAGAAAAACTGTAAAAATTAGATAGGATTTTAGCCGCTTTGCCCGCCTCTCCTCGCTACTTACAACAAACCGTTCTTATACTCATCTCAAAATTTTTCTCAGAGCTTTGGGTTATTATCAGCTTCCATTTAAACTCCGGTTCGATGGCCGAATCGGCTGCCAAAAAAGCAAGCCACTGTTGAGGGGTTCTATGAGAAATTCGTGATATTATCGGCTCTCAGGAAATCACCCCATGGCTAAAATTGGTGGTATAAATGTTTAAGTGCTTAAAATAATCGTATTCAAGAAACTAAGGAATTAAACTATGGAGTCAATTTCTTTTTAATAATATAACGAATTTACTACCGGTGATTTAGCTATTATAGCCCCAGAATACTTTTAAAGCGCCTTTGCGTTCCAGAATCTCGACGGAATTTTTTTTTTTTTTTTTTTTGCTTAAACGATTCAAGAAACATTGTAGTTAAAAATATAAAGATTTTTCGATTTGGACGTATGAAAAATGTTTAACTCGTTCAGGCACACCGTGTATTGTATGGAGTACTGCTGTTATTCGACCGTTGTCTTCAGGTCAAAATTCTTACAAAGAAGCCCCTTGCAAGAGGCAAATTTTTTGTAATTTCTCCCAGTTTTTTCAGCGTTAGGTATATAAATGAATTGTTTGTCAAATTTTGAGGTCAATTATATTTAATTGTAATTTATACTTTCTTTTTTTCCCCTTCATTTTATTTTTCGTATCGAGGAGTCGAGGTTTTGTTGATTTCTTCGGATTTCGATTACTGTAACTTCTCTTCTATTCGGCCGATTTTTATGAATGAGGTCTCTTTTTATTTGTGTTTTAACGGAGAGTAAGGAAAAAATTGCTAAATACATGCGAAACAATTTTTTTTGAAAATTGGATGAATCCTAGCGTGACGGTGAAATGGTTAATGAAGCGTGAGTAATTGGGGTACGGGTATCGGCCGCGTTGGGACCCAAGGCCCATTGTTCTTCGTGACGCCGACGCAGTGATCAGGAGCGTGGGGACGAGAGGGCTTAGTGGACTCCTGTATGAGCCACGTTTAGCAAATGGTCTAATGAGTCTCGAGGCTCATCACAGATTGCACTTACCACTATCCTGGTGGCCCCGGCTATCAGAGCAAGGAGTACCAACTTTTGAAAAGGATAACAGTGTTGTGGAGATATGTCAAAGCAACGTTGTGAACAAAACGGAGTGAGTGAAATTCTCATTCAAGGAGTGCCGAACTGGTCAGCCATCCTCGAATCAGTTCGCTTGCTTCCGCTTATATATGCATATTTTAAATCAGCGCGCCCCATTCTAAGGTTTTTTTAAAAAAAACCAAGAAACGTAGACTCTTGGTATTCATTACACATAAACTAGCGAGCCCCAGAATGAGAAACAAATTTTAATCATTATTATTGACGGATTAGTAAACTTTTAACACGCTTTGGAAAATCTCAGAAGTTCGCGGTAGTCACTTTTCGGTAAGGAACTAGGGGACTCGGTTATTGTATCGAGGGGGGGGTCGAAACGATCGCAAAGGCGGTATACTACGTATACGCGCCAAAATAATGTGAATGAAGACGACAACACGGGGCATTCTTTGTCTCATCAGTGCGCGTTTACTACATTCTGATGTGAAGAAGGCATACGCACATTCATCACCCATCACTCCCCATCAACGAGTAAAAACATTCCTCTTTCACTTTCAGGACACTTAGTGAGTAATTGAAATTCGGTCAAGGTCCGTAGTTTTGTCACATGCTTTCTGCTCCTGGTTGAAGAGGTTTTGAAGGCTAAGTCAATACGGGACATTCTAACTGCATGCGCAATTCGATACAACTAAACGGAACGCAAATATTTTAAAGTCGCTCCTCACTCTTCTTGGAATTTTTATGAAAAACAATTTAGATAAAATCATTAGGTGTGACGCAAACTTCCCGCTGAAGAAAACTGCTTTGTATAATACTCGAGCAAAGTGTCAAATTTCAAAGGTCTACACAAATTTGTATGAGAATCGATAAAGTTGTTATTTTTTGTGCGTTCTGTCATATCCAAAAATCTCTCAAGTAATACTTATTAAAAGTTTCAACGATAATTACCATGTATTTTATTTATGATTGCGAATTTACATTGATTACTTAGAATTCGAACATCCTTGGTTAACACTGATGCAAAATTGGATGCACCGCACTCAATTAGTATAATCAAAAATTATATGAAATGTTAATCTATACATTCGCAGAGAATGAATGTCGACAATTAACAAAAATAATCGAATTCGAACTAAGAAAGCGTACTCGACAATTTTCCTCAGAATTAAGAAAATTTCCGAGAATTTTCGGGAACAAAATTACAAATGGACCACTAGACAATGTACAAAGTTCAGCATTCTGATACATGTTCCTTAACCAAAATTTCACGCAAAATACGATTCATGCAACAAAAATTACTGAAATTAACGCTTATAACCAAGATATTTTATATTTTTGACTTCAAATCTCCCGCTCACAAAAACGCAATTGTCTACTTGAGTCAAATCGCGCACTACACGTTACCATGATAGTCCCTGCGATATGAAAATCTGACAAAATCAATATTGACGCTTTGACTCAGCCTCAGCAAGTTATTTACAGTTTGAACAATACAGGGTGAGAGATTAACATTGCTCGATTGAGAAGCTTGCCGACGCCGTTGTAGTATGCGATTGGACTCACGAACAGAATTGAGTTACTTGTGACTAGGCATTTCAAATTTTCCGTGACAATTGTAAAATAAAAACGTTCATA